CCATTCGGATTTCTCTCTCTCAATCCAGCACGTTGGGGTTTTTTAGCTAACAAGCTGGAACTGTAAACATACACAACACAAATAATTATTTCAAAGGCAAAGTCTCGATAAGAAAGAGGACCGGCCCTGCCATTGGGGAAAGTGGGGCAACCGATCTGAGGTATCATACAAGGGTGTGCCCTACAACTGGTTATGTTAATATAACATTGCATTCCTATGGCCAGGAGTCATAATCCAAAAGAGAGAGAGAGAGAGATTTTCCAAGCTCTGCATGTCTTCTCAAATTCTGCACGGGAAATCAGAGCTTGGTGGACGTGGGGCAAGGTTGAGGTGGGAAATATGAGAGAGAGGCCTGGCTTGAGGCAATGACGGTTTCAAGGGTTCCTCTTTTGCAGGTTTCGAGGGACCCCTGTGTGAGGTGGAGGCAGACTTGTGCCACAGCGCCCCCTGTGGCCATGGAACCTGCATGAACACCCCTGGATCCTTCGCCTGTGTTTGCTCCTCAGGCTTCACTGGACCCCAGTGCATGGAGATTAGGGACCCCTGTGGGAACTGGCAGTGCCTCAACGGGGGCAGTTGCCATGTCGCAGAATCTGGGTACGGATGAGGTGGGGAAAAGATATTGGGGGGGGGAAGCGTGACTTCCAGATGTCAACTTGGCTCATAGAGCCAAGGTTGTGAGTCTTTTTTCCCCCTGGAGTTTCATGTCACCCAGGGCTCTCCTTCCTCAGCTCATGTTCTGACTTGATCTTTAAACGTGTCCTGCCATCTTTCAAGTTTGTAAAATGATGATGGCTTAGCCTCGTGGGCGCCTTTCAGAGAGAAAAGTGGGGTAAAAACAAACAGGGGTGAAAACTGACCAGACCAAAAAAAAAATTGATTTCATTGCTCAGTCCATTTGCATGATCCATGGAGAGAAAGTGGATACAAATAAGTATTGATTATACAACAAAATATATTAAGTGGCATAATAATAATAATCATGTGCCATCAAGTCAATTCTGACTTAGGGCAACCCTTTTTCAGGGTTTCCCAGACAGAGAATATTCAGAAGTGGTTTACCCTTCACTCCCTCTAGGGGGAGCCCTGGGACCGTACAGCTTTCCCAAGGTCACCCAGGCTGGCTCTACTTATAGAGATCCAGTGAGGAATCGAATTCCCAACCTCTGACTCCACTGCCAGAGACCTAAACCACTGAGCTATCCAGCCAGCTAAGTGCCATTATAGGATATAAACAAAATGTCTTCTTCCTCCCCACTGCAAAGAGATTTCCTACCCCTTCCTCTGTTATTAACTCATTACCCGTTGACTGAGGTAGGGCCATCCTAGAGCAGAGAAAGTTCCTGTCATTTCATTTCATAAATAAATAAAATAAAATAAATGATTGTCCGTCTTACATACCCAGCCTTTCTTTCTCTTCATATCCAGAGTCACCACCCATTTTAACTGGTCCTGTTCCAATGCCTTTGGGTGACACACAGGGGTTAAGCAGGTAAAGACATTTTGGGTTTATTTTCCTTCTGTGCCAGGAAAATCTTCACCTGTTAAATTTCTGTGAGTCTTAAAGGCAGAACCCATAGGATCAAGTGGGAAAGAATGGTGTCAGACGCAGCACAAACTCCACAGCTGTCCTGAACTACTATCACAGAGCCTGGCACATTACTTTTTTAAAAAGTAATTCCCTGCCATTATAATTCCAAGGCTGCCCAGGATAGTTAGTTACCATTTAAATACATGTTTAAAGTGAGCTTAATGATGTCAATTACCTTTTCATTTCCCCAAAGTAACCATTTAAATACATGTGTAAAGTGAGCTTAATGATTTCAATTACCTTTTCATTTCCCCAAAGTAACTACAAATTACTTTAGATCCTTTTAAAAAGCAACCAATTAAGGGTTTTTTTGCCATCTTGATAATGTATTATTTTGGAATTAATCGTTATAATTGTAATTGTAATTTTTTTATGATTTTATACATGTTATATTGATGTTTTTTTTATCTATGTAAGCCGCCCCGAGTAGACATTGTCTAGAGGGGTGGGGTAAAAATCTAATAAATAAAATAAAATAAAATAAACCAAATGCTACAGGTCTATGGTCCAAAATCTTTTCCTGGTACCTTGTTGTTACCTGAACAAAAGAAAGTTTGAATCATGGAGATATGCCTCCTCAACCACTGAGTGGGGTTTTAACCCAACCAATAAAAGTAACTAGAAAGTAACTAGAATTACATCACAGGAGGAGCAAAAGTGTCCCTTACCAAGTTACAATGGTCAAGTAGTGTAACTACACCCGTGTTATTGGGGAAGGGAATTAATGACACGCGGCTAGTTATTTATAAGCTCTGCTGCTCTTTGTAGCCGTTCGGATGCCCCCACATGCCAAAGGTTCCCGTCTCTCTTGATTTGAATGTAGTTCTGTGGAAAGGTAGGATTTAAAATGTCAATGTAAACAAACGAATGAATAAATAAACTTGCTCTCACTCCAGGCCGCACTGCCTTTGTCTACTGGGTTGGACCGGCTGGAATTGTGACACGGCGATCGATGCCTGTCATTCCAGCCCCTGCCATCAGGGGGCGACTTGCCTTAGCCATCAGGGTACCTTCAGTTGCCTCTGCCCCAGCGGCTACACAGGTAATAATAATACCCCCACCAGTCCCTTATCCTCCGCTCCTTTCCTGGCTGGGAAGCCCAATGTCTCCCACAATCAATATGGAGCGACATTTCCCATCATTCCAAGGCCTTTGCCATTTATGTGGAGATCACAATGGCTCATCATTTTTTTTTTGTTTTGTTTTCTTTCCCCCATCGCAGGTGCAACTTGTGAAAAAGAGGTGGATGAATGCGGGTCGAGCCCTTGCTTCAATTCTGGAACCTGCCTGAACAGTCCCGGAAGGTTCCGGTGCCTTTGCCCGACGGGTTACACGGGACAGAGATGCCAGGTCATTCTAGACCTTTGCTCACCCAGTGAGTATGCAGGAGCTAGGGAAAGCCCAAGACATTTAATTTAATTTAATTATGATGGCAGAAAGGGAGGAGGAATTAAAGAACCTTGGAATGAGAGTGAAAGAGGAGAGTGCAAAAAACGGTCTGAAACTCAACATCAAAAAAACTAAGATCATGGCCACTGGGCCCATCACCTCCTGGGAAATAGAAGGGGAAGATATAGAGGCAGTGTCAAATTTTATCTTCCTGGGCTCCATGATCACTGCAGATGGAGACAGCAGCCCTGAAATTAAAAGACGCCTTCTTCTTGGGAGGAAAGCGATGACAAAACTTGACAGCATCTTAAAAAGCAGAGACATCACATTGCCAACAAAAGTCCGAATAGTCAAAGCTATGGTTTTTCCTGTCGTGATGTATGGAAGTGAGAGCTGGACCATAAAGAAAGCAGACCGCTGAAGAATTGATGCCTTTGAATTGTGGTGCTGGAGGAGGCTCTTGAGGGTCCCCTGGACTGCAAGGAGAACAAACCTATCAATTCTAAAGGAAATCAACCCTGAGTGCTCACTGGAAGGACAGATCCTGAAGCTGAGGCTCCAGTACTTTGGCCATCTCATGAGAAGAGAAGACTCCTTGGAAAAAAACTTGATGTTAGGAAAGTGTGAAGGCAAGAAGAGAAGGGGACGACCGAGGATGAGATGGTTGGACAGTGTCTGCGAAGCAACCAACATGAATTTGACACAACTCCGGGAGACAGTGGAAGATAAGAGGGCCTGGCGTGCTCTGGTCCATGGGGTCACGAAGAGTCGGACACGACTAAACAACTAAATGAACAAACGAAATGTAATTAACTTATATGTTGCCCACACTACCCAAAGGTCTCTGGGTGGTTTACAACAATTAAAATACAATTTTGCTGCCTGAGGGGTAGGAAAAAAAAGGTTAAGATTGCATCGACCCCTCTCCCTCCAGTGCCGAAGAGACTGGTGGTTCTAGCTTCCGTGGACACAAGCCAGGGGACGTGGTTCTTCCACCATAGAGCTGAGACAACTGCTAGATTCACGGGTACAGAGAGCATCGCCTTTCAGCCCTAGGAAAACAGCCAGAGAGTTGACCTCTAGCATCTCCTAGAAGGGCTTCCTTTCCTCCCTCTGCCTCATGGTAGGGCCGGCCTCACTGGAAGCACAATTTGGTTAATGTCTCTGAGAAACCCAGTGCGATGCTACCGGCTCCCTAAAGGGTCGCTGGGCATTTGGCCAGAGAGTTCGACCGGCACTTATCTACCACCTTCACGCTGGATCGAGGCCTTAGACCTCAGCAGTGCGTAACATAAGCCCTTTCAACAAGTCTGACCTAAAAAGAACACTTTACACTTACTCAGTACTTTGCAAGTACAGGCAAATGGGCTTTGTGATTCCTTGGAACTCACAACAACTCAGTTAGGTAGGACTCTTAAATGGCCGCTAGTTTGTGGCCCTTCTCCACTCCTGGATTTAGCCAGACCCTGCTGTTCAAGAGACCAGGCCTTAGTAAGGACTTTTAATAATTAATTTTTTTTTAGAAAAATAGGTTTCATTAGAAATCAGTTTATATTCCATAAGCATTAGCATTCATGAACATATTTAAAGATCATTGCAGTTAATAAGATAGTGGCATTTGTTGCATGTATTTATTTTATTTTATTTTATTGGATTTCTACCCCGCCCATCTAGACCAAAGGTCTACTCTGGGCGGCNNNNCAACAACAACAACAACAACAACAACAACAACAACAACAACAACAACAACAACAACAACAACAGGCAAATAAATAATGTAGGCTTGTGCCTTTATATTCTAATTTAGTAGATTTAGTAGGAAGGAAATCCAAAGCTGCAATAAAGTTAATCTGAATAGAATTGAACTTGCTTATGAATTCTACATTCATTAGGTCTGTATTAATGTACATAACTTTTGAAGGAAAGACACGTTCAATACATGGAAGCTTTCTAATGAATAAACATGTGCAGTAGTTCCCAATCTTGGGTCTCCAAATGTTCTTGGAATGCAACTCCCACAGACTCTGACCAACACAGGCTTCTGGGAGTTGTAGTCCAAGAACATCTGGGGACCCAAGGTTGGGAACCATTGAAAGAGGATTGTACGGTACACAGCTTGATTTCCAAGTTTTATTTATCATTAGATTCCATACATTTCAGTGCCTTCACAAGAGGTAGAAATAACAATAGGTAAAGCACTATCCAACATTATTCAAACCGGACAACAAATTTTAACAATATTGTTAAATATCACAAAATGGCACCCCCATTCTGTTATCAAAGTGATATGGATAACATTCATCTCATCGCCTATATATCTTTCCACCCTTCATCATAGATCCTTGTGGAAACGGGGGCCAATGTGTCATGAAGGGCTCTGCCCCAAATTGCAATTGCTCCCCGGGCTGGGCTGGGCCCCGATGCCAAGAAAGGACAAGACAACATGGAGATAACTGTACAGAGCAGGCGGGTGGACCTGGTTGTCAGGTGAGTGCAGGACGTGGAGGCGTTGGGGTGTCTGCCCCAGGTCTGAAGGATGCCAGTGGACAGGAGAGACGCAGAAGCAACCTGGCCAGCTTTTCTGTCTGGTAGCTGTTGCTAAAAGGGAAAAAATATTTTGTTTCCTAGGGAGGGTGTGAAAGGGAAGGGAGATCTGTCAGTTTTACCTTCTCTTACATTTAAGATTTTTGTTTGAGTTGATGCTGTTCATTCCCATTCCAAATGTATGATTTGGACAAATTAGTCAAAACCAGATGGCAGGGAAGTTATGTCTGTTTCCTCTGCACAAGACCAATTTCAAAGGGTAGGTAGGTCTATTCTGGGCACAGAGAAGAAGAGGCTGTCCTTCCTTGCCATGGAACCCCCTGTTAAAAAAGATGAGGACCCTCTCTCGGGGGGAGGGGGAGAATAAAGTGGCAACCCTGATGATTAAATGTAGCTGAATGTGCATAAATGCAAACCTAGAGCTTTAAGGGCTGTGCATTCAGCCCTTAATGTGACTGTTTCTCTCACTTTCTACATTGTTTTACCCTCAAAGTCTTTGTGTTAGTCTTTGGTGAAGATGTCTATGGATTTTTGCAAACTTTTATTAAAAAATGAGAATAGAAGACTCCCTGGAAAAGACCCTGATGTTAGGAAAGTGTGAGGGCAAGAGGGGAAGGGGACGACAGAGGATGAGATGGTTGGACAGTGTCATCGAAGCAACCAACATGAATTTGACACAACTCTGGGAGGCAGTGGAAGATAGGAGGGCCTGGCGTGCTCTGGTCCATGGGGTCATGAAGAGTCAGACATGACTAAACGACTAAACAACAACAACATTAAAAAATGGAGGTGAGGGGTGGGAAGAAGAAAATATTCATTGAAGAAACTGAGCTGGGAAAAGTTGCTTTTTTTCTTTCAGTGCAAGAAAAAATACTGTGGCAAGAATGCTGGATAGGGGATTTGGGGATTTTAGTTCAAGACCTGAACAAGGGCCATTAATGACCAATTTACAGGCAACTAATTTATATGATCACCTTAAGTTGGAAGCAGCTTAACAGCACATGATGAAAAAGTCCAAAAATGTCTCTTTCCCAAGGGCTGTGCAAAGTGTATAGGCTTACAACCCTATATCCGTATCTCTTGGACTAAATCCCATTAACATGCATGCTATACGGACTGCAGATGCACTTTGTTATACAGTGGTGCCCCGCATAGCGAGGTTAATCCGTTCCGGATTAACCCTCGCTATGCGGAATCGTCGCTAAACGGGTAGGGGAAACCTTGCTTACTTACCCGTTCAGCGAGGATTCCCCTTGCCGGCAGCCATTTTCGCGCCCTCGCTAAGCGAGGGCAGGGCGTGAAAAAGGCTGCCGGCAGCCCTTTCCGGGCTTCCAGCGGCCCATTTGGGACC